TCTGGTCTTCTTCTTTCAAAGTTCTTTCTTTCTTGATTCCAGGGCAGCAAATTGCATTAGGACCCGATCAGTGGGGCATCAAAGTTTCAGACAAATCAATTTACTTTAATTGAATCCCAGCGTTCAGTGGATTCGCTCTCAAAGCCTTTCCTTACAGTTAAACTTTGATGAACGTTGACTCTGCAATTTGTGCTGTTGACCAATTAAAAACCCATCCTGACAGTGCTCACCTCCGAGGGAACAGAAAGCCCCTAGAATCCATGATTAAGGAGGTTTAGGAGGTTATAGCGTTGTTGCACCATCCAATTTGACATAAGAATTGCTTCAAAAAATCGATGTGGTGTGGTTGGCATATGTTTTTTTTCATACCTGTATGGAGCTGTGGTTCCCAGCATTTTTGTTCAGTGTCCACTTGCAGCCCCTCGTCGTTGTTGCAGATGTCTGTGAGCTGTGAGCCGCTCTGAGAGAGAGATTTTTCCCTCTAAACTTTCTTGTTTCATTTATCACAATATTGTTTTCCAACCAGAAAAGATCAAATTTGAACACAGGATGTCTCTTTCTACATCACATTTATATAAGTTGCATACAGGACGAACTTCCAAAACTCTTTGTGATGCCACCATTCATGCCCCGCAATGTCACACTGTGCACATACATCCTCCTGCACAGTGAAACTCAAACCAACGGTAAGAATGAGAAGAAAAACATTTTTTAGTGGAGGGGGACTGTAATCATCTCACGACCCCTCCAATTCATCTTGTGACCCATTGGAGGGGTCCTGACCCCCATGATGGGAACCACTGCCTGGCTTACAGTATGTTTGAGTGTGGCAGCACCCGAGACAAACTGCGACAGTTGTTGTGTATCTGGGTCGGCCGCACAGAGCAGAGAACAGCATCTAGTCGAGTGTGAAGTGGCCTCGGTGATCAACTCCCTCCCTTTGTGCTGCATCTTTGTCCGGCCAGAGTCACTCGTGTTAATGATTAGTCCTGCTGCTTTTGTCCACCTCTCACAGACAAAGCCAGTGCGAGTCAATTGGTTGTTGCCCACACAGGCAACATGCAACACGCACCAAGCTCACAGAGAAAACAGTCACTGCTACCAGCTTTCACGGGATTATCAGTGAAAATACACACCCTGATAACAATGTTCCAAATAAACTGCTGGGCAGGAGAGGTTTTTAAATTCATCGCAGCTTAGTAATCAAACTGAACTCTGAGGCCTTCTTGTTGTTGTTTAATTTTTAACTCCATTTTAAATGAAAAGGCCTCACCTTTCATCTCCCGCTGATCTGTTCCCTGGGGGATGAGGAATGTAAGTGGAGGGGATGGTGTGTGTGTGTGTGTGTGTGTGTGTGTGTGTGTGTGTGTGTGTGTGTGTTTGTGTGTGTTCATTAGATGTTAGGGTGTTGCGGGGGTGCAGGGAGGAGTTTTGTTTTTCCTACTAACATGACCAGTTGTGGAGAGCTGAGGAGTGTGTGTGTTGTGTGTGTGTGTGTGTGTGTGTGTGTGTGTGTGTGTGTGTGTGAAGAGGAGGTCATTTGGTCAGCTTGCCCATCAGTACTCGAGCTGTCTGACTGAGCATTCTCACCATCTGTATGACCTCTCCTCCTGACCGACTGGCTTTTGTTCCCGAGCTCGCCTCCCTCCCAGCGTCGTTTCTCACAGAGAACTGTAGCCCAAAGGGTCACCGAGCCCGGCCTTCATCATCAGTCGGCTCTCCTCTTCTTCACTTGCTTTAATGAGAACGGCTTGTTGTTTTTCTCGTTTGACTTTCCCATGAGGTTGAGCACTGAAGCACCTGTATGTAGTAGGATATTTCTGAAGGAATTTGCCATTGTTGTAACACCACACAGAGGATGATTTAGTTTAGCAGAGCTCGGATCGCTTTGACAAAATCTGTTTTCATTTAAACATTAAAGGGTCTTTTTCTTTTGTTTGGGGTCAGAAAAGTCACATTTAATTTACTTAGTAAAAAATAAAACATAAGTACTTTTTTATAGGCTTTGTAAATTTAGTGTATTGTCATTATGATTCAGTTTTGAGCCATTTTGTTGATTAAATACCAAATATGTGGCATAGATGTAGAAAATGCAACCATAGAACCAGTTTTTTTCCAAATTTGTCTCAGCTGTAATTAGACTGAGGCCCAGAGGAAAAAGGGCAAGAAAAGAGGAAACTATGTGAAGCCTATAGCATAGTAGCTTTCACATGTTGTTAAGTTTATATGGAACTGTAAATATAATTTTACATATTGCAAATACCATTCAAGTCAACATACAAGTAGTAATTACTATTGGAAATCTGGCAATTTTCTAAAAAGATATATCTGACTTGCTGGAAAGAATATGTAAATGTCTTGTCAGTACATGGAAAGTAAATCATTTAATGGAACTAAACTTGTTTGCCATAGGTTTCACCATAAACACTGATGATTATGAATCGTAGTGTCCAGAGGTTCCCAACCTAGGGGCCAAGAACCCCCTTAAGGCTTGCAATAAAAATCCAAGGGGTTGCAAGATGATTACTTGGGTACAAAAGAAAGAAAGAAAGAAAATCTAAATAAAATAAAAATTCCGCTGCACAAATTAGGCTTACTTTTCTTTAATATTTACTTTTTGCTTGTGAAATACTGAATCATTTTAGCTCTTCAGGCCTCTTAAAAATTATTCAAATGAAAGTTTGCTCACACTTCATAAACGTATACGAGGCATGACGTGGCTTTCGTATTAAGGGGTCATGAATAAATAAGGTTGGGAAGGACTGTTTCAGTCTATAAAATAGGTCTAAAAATAGTGAAATATACCCATCACAAGTTCCAAGAGGCAAAGGTGATGTATTTGTTTTGTCTGACCAACAAACAGTTTAAAATCCTATCTATCTGATGATGTTTCTCCTTTCTGTTATTTATGACGTGTTGACGTAGATTGTCACAGATCACAGTGAAGAGCTCACCTCTGCGGGACAAACACAGATGGATGACAGCGGCACACTCCATCCGGCCTCCTCACAGTCGCTTAGCAGAGGGCCGCTCCGCTTTATGGCGTCATAAAGTTGCCTTCTCAAAACACAGTTTAAGAGATGACGGTAATTGGCGTGTTGTTTAAAAGCAGCCTCGAGTGCAATCACCTCTGTCCTGACAGCAGTAATTAGCCCAAAGGCTGCAGTATATGGCGGATTAAATGGGTAGTTAATGGTAATTTACTGTTCACTGAGCACACTTTAGGGCTGACTGGTCAAACATTGGTTTGAGCTGGTTGCAATCTGCTAATGACGGAAAGGCAATTCTGCATGAAAAATGACACAATTTACACGTTACCAGTGTTTAACATGTAACAATTAAGTAGTGAAATGGCTGAATGCAAGTGTTACAGTAAGATAACACGAAACCAAACAAAGGGAAGATTTGCAGCATTTAATAAAACAGGACCAGTAAATCTTGCATCAAACAAGGTAAAACATCACTACAAGACATTAAATAAGGTTAAACCATATGAGAATAACAAAATGGTAACATCTTTACCAACTGGATAACTTCACTGGAATAATTTAACCAAAAAGTAGCACCACACAGAGTTTTTTAAATGTTTAAACTCTCCACTTGGACCCATTAGCTCATATTTTATTCAGAAGTATTAAAAGCAGAGTTGATTTTATTCTTAAAATGTCCAAATTTCTGTATAGGCCTACTCGGAAAGAGAATTCCAGATTTGTCAGATCCAGGTCCCAAAACCTCTGAGCCAAAACCTCTGGTTACTTCTTTTAATTGTCTGTTAAAAATCTATCTGGGGAGATAAGCAGGGGTTTCACAAGAGAGTTCAAAAACAGCTCTCACACACAAAATGATCTCTAATCCCTGACATGTTCCAGGGCCCCTGTGCAGCTCTGGGCCCCCCTGATTCTTTCTGGATTTTATCCTCTAATGGCGCCCCTGGAGATAACTGAATTCTCTGGTCACAGTGAACGATCTCTAGACATTCACTGTCACTGTGGCATCACAGTATTAAACTCCACAGTGTGACATAATGGTAAATGTAGTTCCCAAAGACCACCTAGAGCTCCCTTCAAGTCCCCCAAACCCAACATTGACCACCACGGACTGTAAAGTGCACATACAGCAAGCTCTGGACTCTGCAATAGTGTCTGGCTTCATTGAGTTTTAGTTAAAGAAGAGGTGGGAGGCGTTTGGATCAAGCGCCGCTTGCTGCCTCCAGCGGTCCCGGAGGGGCGGCGCGCCGAAATCTGATCTTCCCCTGCTGCTGCTGTTTGTCCCGGCGGTGCGCAGCCCAGCGGACACACACACACACACACACACACACACACACACACACACACACACACACACAGTCTCGTACACTGAAATGCATCTGAAGGCTCAGCCTTCAAAATAAAAGTCTTTGTGCGGTTGTGATTCCTTTGATGGCTTAATTATGATCCACCTGAATTACTGCTTGCTGTATGTACTTAACAGATTTTCTTTTATTTACTCATACAATTATGTCATGTTTCTTATTTGTTTATTTTATCATTATTTCTTGGCACATTTTAAAACAACTGAATGCCAAGAATTTGTTTTCAATATATATATATTAAAGTTTTCATAAACACCGTAATACAAGTAACAAAAAACAGGGAAGCAAATTATATAGGAAATTATGTAAAATTAAAAATACATATTTCAATTCAACCATTGACAGTATGAATTCAACACATGATTTAAAGGCAGACCCTGTCGTTTATTTAACTCCAACCTATGCATTCCTTTCCATTCTATATTACTGAAAAACAACTGAACCTCTTCAAATGATAAAACATGGCCTTTACATACCATACGTCGTTTTAAGGCATATTCAAATTCAGATACATGATGCGCTTGATTAAACGTTCAGTAAAGCATTGCGTCACTGGTTTATCCCCCAAGGTTTTATTTTGAAGGTACAGACAGGAACTCTCCCTGTCTCCTAACCGGTCTCTTTTGACGTGAGCACGGTGCAGCTCCTACTTCACAGGCAGCCGGCGGAGGAGAGCCACCAGTCCGAGTTGGTTGATCCGAGGCGACGAAACTCACCGACTGGCATCCGCGCTGGAGAGGATCGAGGAGTCGCGTTCAGTGCGCCCAGTCCGCCTCCTCCACGCTGCCCCACGCACGACAGGATGAACGCAGTCTGGAGGTTTGGACACTTTGGACCGCAGCGCGCAGTGGGAAACAGGATTTAGTGGAGAAGTTGGCTTTCTGAGCGGCGGTGCCCGAGCCGAGGACTCTCACTGTCAGGTCGTGAGGTGGATTTCAGACTTTTTTTCCCCCCACTGTCGCCTAACTGCTCCCTGAGAAGCGAGGACTAACGGATTTAAAAGTAGACTAGTCTCTGTGGGTTTTATGAAGTTTACTGGAGAATAACGGCTGTTTTTTCTTCTGAATGCTTGGTGACATCTGAAGTCTGAGATTTGCTGTCAAAACGGGATACTTTGTGTAAGTATCCTATTACTACTACTACTACTACTACTACTACTATTATTATTATTATTATTATTATTATTATTATCATTATGATTATCATCTACGAACAACTTTGCAGCCTCTGAGTTATGAGAGAAATAGCTTCACTTCCTTGTAGATGTGAGTCAGACAGGTTGAGCTCTCCAGTCTTCCAGCGTTAAGTAGCCGTGTTGTACTGAAGAGTGTGTGTGAAGCGTGGAGCTGCGGGACCAGCCCAAACGGTCGCGCCACCGCACAGGTGCCGTGGAGGGAACGGCTCCTCTGTCTGTCTGTGCGCAATCGGCGCGTCTCCGCCGGTGTCAGCGGAGTAATGGACGCGTTCTGCGCGTATTTGGTTTGGAGAAAGCGGGCATATGTCTCTGTTTCTCAGCTTGTTAATGCTGGCTGCACTGCGTGTGGCGCAGGTTAGAGATATTACGTACGCTGCAAGGGTGAAAATGACATTTTCTTCCCCTGGAACTGGTAATTGATTGAGCACACGTTCCCTGGTTTTCCATGGAAATCAACTTGCTTAAAGTATTTTCTCATAATCAAAAGTCATTCCTAACGCAGTGACCCGCCTCATGCTGTCCAGTTTTAAAATATTGACACTTTGGTTTCCAGAAATCTCCTGGAATGGTGGAAAATATGTGAAACCCAGTGGCGGCGTCTTAAGAAAAAGCAGATGTATGAATTATGAAATTACGCACGTTCATGTGTCCACCAGGATGGGTTGTGGATGCCCATTAGATGCGCCTAATCTGAGTTCGGTTTCCATTTACCATCAATCAGACGTTTCCATGTGTCATTTCACTGTCAAAAAGTAAAATATCGACTTTCATCGCCATCCTATGCTCGTTAGGATGAACACGCCTTTTCTCCTCACTGCAACAGTGACGTCTTCTCTGGTTGGGAACAGAAATCTGAATTACACATCAGCCTCTTTCACAGAGCCGCGCTCCCTAATGCCTCTGATCATCTCTGAAGTTTCTCCAGAAAGCAGCAGATTTCTTTCCCCCCCCCCTCCCTCTGAATGAACGAACCGTGCGGTTGTCTCCCCTCAGTACCAGATCAGTCATCCCCTCTTCAAACACATGCGCTGCAATGGGATTCAGATGGTGATTTTGGCCACTCAGCTCAGTTTTGACTCCCACCATGTCAAGTCATCACCGGAGAAAATGACCGGATTATGGCATCCTACGAGAGAGGGTCTGAAATGAGATTTGGGACTTGTATTGCATTAGCCTATTAAATTTCAGAGCCATAAAACAAGCGTGCGCGTGATAATAGTTGGGCTAATGCTGCAAATTAATTGTATCTATTGACCCGAGAAATAACGCATGCCAGTTTGCAGCGTTTTCAATCAGAGGCGAGCCTCAGACACATTCGGTTCCAAATGAGACTCTGATTGCCTCTTTTCATTAACGAAATTGGCCTGAGACCATCCCTCTGCGTGGGGTTTGGGGTCCCTTTTTTCTTTATTCTTTTATAAGGAGGAGAATAGTACATTAATTGGCTCCGACTTGTCTAATTTGAGAAGAAAAGCTGGTGTTTTTCATGCACAAACAGTAATTCACAGTCATATTCCAAAATTAAAAACTTGATGTGTTGCAGGAGTAAGTTTATTTGGCCTTTTTTTTCTTTTAGCATATATACATCTTATTATATGTTTGCAGGACTCCTGTCTTTTGGAATATGTCTCTGGGACTACAATTGTAAACTTTATTGGGGTTGGTTTTTAGTATTTTATAGCTGAACAGCCCTATATTTCCTTAGGAACTCATACCTAACATTCAGAAGAAAGTTAACAGTGGCACTATAGTACTTAATGGTATTCCCTTTTCCCCTCACCTTCACTATAATATCCCTGTAAGCTCTTAGAACGTGTCTGAGGCAGTTAAAGTTTATATTGACTGTAGTTTTTTAACATTTCAATTTCCCATGGTATCTGCTGTAATGTAGCAATAAAGTCTCAAAGAGAGTTATCTATGTCTTAAGCACTTGGTCAACCTATTTTTCTTCAGTTTACACATGTGGCCTCATAGTATTTCTTGAGAGACTAAAGTGTCCTTCTGTATCTTCTGTTTCATGCTAAGGACAAATGTGTGGACAGGTTTTATTTTCTTTAACTCGTGCGGTTTAAGACGTTTTAACCCCTCCCGGTGTCAGCCCGAGGTGAGCCGAGTCCACAGCCTGCAGCGCTTTACACCTGGAGTCGCCTCTGACAGCTTTAAAACGCGGAGTCTCTCTGCCTCTCTCCGCTGATCAATATCTCTTCTCACCTGAGGGTGCGTTTGAGTGTTCTTTGAAAAGAGGGTGGTGTCATGAAGGCAGGGAGCAGGAGTAGTGAGGGGACAAGGGAGAGGGAGACATGGTGAGGAGCAGAGAGAAAGGAATAAATGGGAAGAATTCAATAAAAAGGAGTTGAAGAAGAAAGAGTCACTGATACTGAAGATTATCCACTTGAGTGTCTGTCTGTCTTCCTCTCCACTACCCATCTGCCCTCTGCCCGGCTGCTGTTTGCACTTGTGCTCTCCCAAAAACCTCTAATCCCCTTTGCCCAAAATGACAAAGTCGATCCGGCCCCGGCTGTTGATTCTCCGGCTTAATTATTAAAGATTACTGACACTCAAGAGAGGTGTGACTAGCATGTGATCGCCTGGCATTGATCCTCACCAAGGGGAGCAGGGATGACAAGGATTTGAACCCCGGTTAAAACATTTTTCTGCCTCCGAGCTATTACAATGTGAAGATAGTTCTGCATGATTAATGTTCATGTATTATTCACCGCGGTGGTTTGTGTTTTCCTTTCATGCTTAAAGAAAATATTAGCATGAAAACACTTTGGAGGCTTTGAACTCCTCGCTGGGTCTCTGGGATCCATACCGCCTCCTTTCTTCTCTGCTTCTTGAGGTTGTTAAGTGAAATCCAAGTGTTTTTAGTTGGCTGTGAAGAGTTCATTTCTAATGTTCCACGTGTCCACTTTGTAAAAAGTCCTTACTTGATTTTCATCACTCAATTTTTTTTTTAAAAATGAGGATATAAGGTTAATATTTTGTCAAGTAACTACATATACTGCCTGCTGCTCTTACACTGGATTTAATTTGCTCCAGTTTCATGCTATCAGTCATGTTGCAACACTTGGCTGCTCCTCAAATCCAAGGATTCACTTTGTGCACGAGGTAGTCTTAACTATTACCTGTCACCAAATTAGTCTGCGGCTGGTATTGTTTTCTGGTTTCTTCTCACATGTCACATGTAATGCTGCTTGTCTAAACAGATCTGCACGTTGACATGATCCATCTCCGAAGCTTTGCCAGCCCTCGAAGTGAAGTGCCCGTGTAAAAAGCTGAGATTTTTTTTTTCACATGTGTGTCTGTGCCTGCCAGAGAAAACAAAAAGTTTCCAATCGGAGAGGCCTGCAATCAGCTACCTCCACGCCTGGAGAGCGAAGGCCTTATCGTACTGTATAAACAAACTGCAGCAGCATGTAGGCGTCTTGTGTAAGAAGACGGTGAGGATGGGCTGAGAGAGGAGAAGAAGAGTGTATAGAGAACATGAAAGGCTGCAGTATGTTGGAGCAGGAAAGGTGCGGTGGCAGTGTTTAGATTAAACTGTGTGTGTGTGTGTGTGTGTGTGTGTGTGTGTGTGTGTCTGTGCTGCTTTATCTACCCATGTGTGTCTTGTGAAGTTCCCCCAGTTGGTGTTTTCTGTGTTGAGGAGTGATAATGTGCAAACAGAGCCTTGTAGAGCCGGCCTGGGCTTCAGTTTGTGCTGAGCAAGGAGTGGGTCACAGGTCCTCTGAGAGAAAGAAAAACAGTACTGTTAAGACTTAAGACAACACAACCTTTCTCTGGACTGTGTGTGTGTACAATACACCTCTGTGTGTGCAAGCAAAGCCCACTCTGAGATGTTTGCGTGTGTGTTCGCTAAAACCTGTGTGGGTGTTTTTGTCGGGGTGGACGTCTCACAGCCAAGGCTATTCTGAAGCTGGACAGAGCTGCTTAAGTTTAAACCAGCGTGTGTGTGTGTGTGTGTGTGTGTGTGTGTGTGTGTGTGTGTGTGTGTGTGTGTGTGTGTGTGTGTGCGCGCATGTGGGGGGTTTTGTGCTTTGCTTTTCTGGGCACCTCGCTCAGAGCTTTCTCCGCGAACCTCTGTGCATTCCAGCTTCTCCCTGCTTAAGCAAACAGAGAGCAGAGCACTCCGCCGTCGCTCGCCGTAGCCGTCACGCACTCTCCTCCTCCTCCTCCTCCTCCTCCTCCTCCTCCTCCTCGTCCTCCTCCTCCTGTGAGCCGTCGGGCACGTTGGGCAACTGATACTGTAGACTTCGGCATTCCTCATCCTGCAGGAAGATTAGTGAATCCGTGTCAATCGGTTGATAAACCATGCAGAAGAGTTTCTCAAGCAGAAAAGAGTCCCGTGGAAAGAATGACAGGCTGTTTAGGTCTGAAATGATGTGATTTCTCTCTCTCCTCAACTAAGCAGAGTTCATTGATTGGTTAATGAACTTGTGCTAGGGCTGGGGGTATCATAATAAAGGTTTCTTGAGCTGTTCCTACATTAGAGCTCCTATGCATCCCTCTTAATGATCAGGTGCTCTGAGAACGTTTCTGAGAAAAACTGCGAAGAAGGATTTCCACCCTAATCCTTGAAATCTGTGTGGAATGTCAGGTCAAAATATTGCAGCATGTGTGCAGACCCCAAGGCGCTTCTTTGTGCTGTGTTCAATTTGAAGTCCTATTTTTCATATTCCAGAGTTTGTTTTTCTCCCTGATTGCATGTTCTGCCTTCTTCAAATCTGTTTCTGAATCTCATGAGGAACATCCAGCCTTCTCTCTACCATTCAGCTCCAACTGATTTTTTCTTTTCCCTCCCATTTGTTGTTGTTTTCTAGGTCAGTGGCAGGGAGTTGTTGGATTGTTTCTTGCGGCGTCGGAGGCCGCCCTTCTGCTGGACAGCATGCGAACGGAGGATGTTGTCTGAGTCTGAGTCGGGCCTTGCTGCTCTACGTCTCACCCCGTCGTGCAGAGGAATGACGGCTCTGTGGTGCTCACTCTGGCTTTCCTTCCTCCTGCCTCTCTGCGTCGCTCCAGCCAGGCTGCCCACTGCTCAGCCCACAGGTACGATACAATATCAAAAAACCTGCTGATACCACTGCTGAATCAACACTGGTAACTGTCTTTAAGGAAACCCATAAAACCCGAACATTTTGCAATATTTTGAGGCAATTTGACTCACTTTCAGAACAAAAAACATGTGTTCATGAAGGCATTATGGCTGTTATACTACATAGGTCCATAAGAATTAAACACATGATGAAATATGAAGGATCACACAGTTTCACATGTTCTAATTGTTTGGTATTAGTTGTTAAAACATGAGTTGATTAATTGATAAATCAATCATTTGTCATTTATCAAGAAAAAAAGCCAAATATTGACTGGTTCCTGCTTCTGAAATGTGAAGAGCTGCTGCTTTTCTCTGCTGTATATCACTGTGGTTTGAATATCTTCTGGTTTTGGACAGTTAGACAGACAGAACAAGCATCTTTGTGGTGAGAAAAGAAAACTTAAAGCGACACTTTTCTTGCAGCACAAATACAAAAGCTCAGATTGTGTCTCTTGTTGCCTTCACACTAAAATAAGCCTGAAAGGGTGCTTGTCCAAAAACAAGAAAGACAGCGTTTAGCTGCTCATACACATTCGCTTCTCCTTCCTTGCTTCATTTTCTGTGCTAATATGACATCTGCTTAGAACCATGTTCAGTTTTCTGTGTGTTCATCACTTCAAATAGGGGCATTTCAAAAGGAACATTTATTGTTTATACGAATGTGGTGGAGTCTCTTTTTTTATGAGGAAGATTTAATTGGACTCTTCTCGGTTCGCTGAGCTTAGCGCGATTTTCCCTCTTTGTTCTGGAGGCAGAGAAATACCCAAAGATCAATCCAAAGTAAACGTCGACTGTGTTTGCTTTAATCTCTCCATATTGCGCAAAAAAACTAACACAGCGCAGTAATCTTTTCTGAGGCGTTAGCCAAGTGTTGTTTTTTTTTTCTCCCCCCTCCCTTTTTCTTTTTATGTGAGAGTTATTTAAAACGAGTCTTTGACACAGTTTACACAGTACAGTGCATTAATAAAGACGAGGAGCCGGGCACGCTTTCTGGAGATGACCCAGAGTCTTATACAAGCTGAGATACCCAATGTGTGTTTGTGGGTGTGGGTGTGTGTGTTTGTGGGTGTGTGTATGTAAGAACATAGACATCAGTTTTTTTTAATTTGTGCATGTGTTTGTAGTTTTCTACCCGAACAACTGAGCTCAGATCAGAGAAGTAGACTCACAGTCTACTAGACGTAAGTCACAAAAATGAGGACTTAACTACCCGAGGAGCATTAAACATTCTTGTCTCAAGTTTTGACCTGAAAAACTCCTTGAATGGAGCTTGTATGTTACAGTTTTAGGCCTCTGCATTAACAGCTTTGGAAGAAAAGTTTTCAGATGCCATGTAATCTTAAGCAAAAAGTCTTTCAAAAGGTTAAAAAATAACTCTGCGTCGGGCTGATCTGACAGCCTCCTACCTGTGTGTGAATTCCACTCTTCATAGCCAAAAGATCCCTCTCCTCTCCTCTTTCTGCCCCCCTTGCCCTCTCTCATGTAAAACCCCAATGTTACAATAGACGTGTTGTGATTCTGTCCGCCTGATTTCCTTCCCTGCTGGGAGCCATCACAGCCTATCATGCTTGGCACAGTCCAAAAGGCAGAGTGTGTTTTTTTAAACCCCCTCAGGGTGGCGGGTGCTCAGGCTGTGATCTCCACGTACCTGCACGATATGAAGACAGAAGAAAATCTAGCCAGGGCACATCTCTGAAGAGGATATTGTTTCAAGTTGCTAATGTTTGTCATGTTCGGGGGTGAAGATTAATTTGATGTGAGGTGCATGCCGGTCAGGTGAAAATACGCAATATGTGAAGCCATGTTTCCATCAGAGACGTTTCCTGTTGGGATAGAAAGTTGTTTCTGCTCAGTATGATGCTGAAAATCTAATTTGAAAGGTGGGTTACACTCATTTATTGTCCTCTTCATTCAGTGTCATCCACCGCTGATGTGACAGAGGTTCCTTAATCACCACAGATACAGAAAAACAGTCTGGAAAACCTGCATTTAAAAGTTGTTTCCTTGGTATGCCCCAAAGAAAGTAAAGAGTTTTGCATGCCCAAGTAGCTGTTCATTTGGGTCTTAATGGAGAGTTTTGATGTCCCATATTGTCTAGATGTTATTTCTGAGTTTTGTTTCATCCTGATAACAGTAAATATCTGATGTTTCTCATCATGCAAGTGAAGCTATAAGCCCTTCAATCACATGAGAGATGCTGTTTAATAAAGTAAACACTACTCAGTGAGAACTCTTCAACATTATGCACATGCAGAAAGGAATTTATTAATTTCAATATATAACAATGGCCTGCGCACTGAGTGACATGTTCAGAAGAAAGCGTGTGTCATCATTTGCAGAAATGATTGGCCATAGGGCGATGTGCTGAGAGAGAGTGCAGGGGTCAAAGGTAAAATCCTATGAGAAGCTACTCTTCTCTATAAACACACAACCTATTGCACCTTTGAATGAAAATATTAAGGAAATTGGTACTTTTATAAACTTTTATACCTTCAGGTTTCAGGATTTTCATATTGTCAGGTCACTTGTAGGAATTCTCCAAATTGAGAATATTAATAAAAATAATAAAGATTTAAAAATATTATCTTTAAATCATGCAATCTTAAAGACCGTATATTGAATCTCATTGTCAGACATGGTCAGAAGTGAAAAAGGTGCCTTACAGGATCCACTGTATCCTCTTGATGTTCTTGTATTTTCCTATATAATACAGTAAGGAGGTAAAGAAAGCTGTTAAGCTTACATACAGCAGCCTCCGTGCCTGGTAGGCATCTCCGGCCTGCGTCTCGTCTCCCCCGCGGCCTCCTGGCCTCCAGCCGCGTTCCCCACGTCCACAGATGGACGAGCAGTAGGGATAAAATGACTGTCGTTTACTGGCAGATGGCACAATTTCCCCTCAGCCACCACAGCGCTGGGCTGCAAAGTTGTCACTTAGGTTTGTGTTTTCTGTGTGTAATGCTCTGTGTTTGTATGTGTGTGTGTGTGTAACTGAGTGGGGAAGGGGGGGGGGGGTGTGGATTAATGTGTTTGTCTGTGCCAGGGTCAGAAATGAGCAGGCGCCATAGACAAAAATGTCCTTGAAAGTTTATAGCACGTCCGTAAATACAAATTAAAAGTAATTGGGCTGCAATTTGGACCGCCTTATTAATATTTCAAAAGTGTTGCTTGATTTTGTTGAGCTGTCGCAGATTAATATACGACCCCTGTGAGCCACCGTAGGTATGTTTTTGGGAAGACAAAATAGCTTTCTATCGAAGAAAAACTGCTTTTATTGATCAGAAATCAATACATCATGCTTGATAAGCTGATAAGTAATGGTGTATAATAACATACCAAGAAAATTAGATCTCTCAGAATGCCACATAAACAGATCACTTAATAATTTAAATGCCCAAATAAAACAGAACTACTCTACTACTAAAATGCTCTCTGTATGACGTAAGGGGACACTGTGGTCTGTGCTGTGTGTGTGTGTGTGTGTGTGTGTGTGTGTGTGTGTGTGTGTGTGTGTGTGTGTGTCTGTCAAGTGTAATTCCTTGTTTCCATTAAGTCCACCATAATGTTGTCTCAGAGCACGGCACTGTTTATTTCTCCAAAGGCTGGTGGCATTTCCAAATGTTGCAGGGGGAAAAAAAATGTTTGAGGGGCCAAGTTGACGCGGTGTGAGAGACTGATGACAAAGAGCAGAGGCTGTGTGTGTGTGTGTGTGTTTGTGTGTGTGTGTTTGTGTGTGTGTGTGTGTGTTATTCTTCTCCCCTCTGTATTTACTGACCACACAGACTCCCCGCCGGTGCCCCCGTGGAGCTCGGATGAAATATGTGGCTCCTCTGCTCCGACATTTTCTGTGAAACGACAGACATATAAACTCAACACATTCAGTTTTGCCATTGCTTCTGTGTGTGTGTGTGTGTGTGTGTGTGTGTGTGTGTGTGTGTGTGTGTGTGTGTGACAAAGCAGACCTACGTGGAGTCTGCAGTTAAGTGAATGTTATGTCTGTACGAGCAGAGGCGGATTATGAAAGGGAGGCAGTAAAAGAAGATGAAAAGAGAGAAACATAAAAATTAAAGGATAGCAGAGAGTCTCTGTGTGTGTGTGTGTGTGTGTGTGTGTGTGTGTGTGTGTGTGTGTGTGTGTGTGTGTGTAGGGGGTTTCAGTGTGGGTGTGTGTCGTCGTCAGTATGCCCTTCAACCAGAGAAGAAAGCTAATATGTGTGTCATGACAGAAAACGACAGGGTGTGTGTGGGTGTGGGTGTGGGGGTTGTGTGAGGTCTCTGACCCCCTGCCTCCCCCCCTGGCAAGGACTGTAAATGTCAGCAGGGGTTGTTTGGGTCGTTAGGAGACTCGTTAAAACCACGCCATCCGCAGATTTACGCTCAGGCTCTACAATTCACACACACACACACACACACACACACACACACACACACACACACACACACACACAAACACACACAGTGTCACTCTCTCTCTCTCCTTGTTTCTTTTTCTCTGCCATATTTCATCCCTACCACTCTCTCCTCTCCCCCTCTCCCCAACACTCACAGTTGTCTTTTGAAAACCTCTCCTCTGCTCTGTAAGTCTTTGATAGTGGCAGCATTGTCCTGAAGGCAGTGTGTGTGTGTGTGTGTGTGTGTGTGTGTGCGTGTGTGCGTGTGTGTGTATACTATAGTCCAGCATATATTGTGTTCAGCCAGCAGCTTCAGTGAAAACATACTGCATTTACAGCTGTCTTTGGGCTCAACTGTTAAAGAATACACTCCTCAGAAAGTTCTCCCTCATACTAATGGAAGCACTTTGGATTAACTGTATGGTTCCCTTTTAACCAGGATGTGTGTGAATCTGTTCCATGGTTTGTTTTTGTCAGCCAAAGTCCCACTCTGAACCCTCTTGTCACCAAGCGTCCATCTTCTCTGCTCAAATGCTTTTCTTGTCATTCTAAATTACCCTTCTG